CTTTCCTGCAGCTCCAACAAGTCCCTGAGGCCCTGACAGTGTCCTTTTAAGGACGTTCAAGGCTGCCGTTTGCCAGCCCGCAAAACTCGCCAAACCCTCCCCTGCAGCTCCCAGGCGCCACTCAGGCCGCGGCAGACCTTTCCTGCAGCTCCAAACAAGTCCCTGAGGCCCTGGCAGTGTCCTTTTAAGGACGTTCAAGGCTGCCGTTTGCCAGCCCGCAAAACGTTCAAGGCTGCCGTTTGCCAGCCCGCAAAACTCCCCAAACTCTCCCCTGCAGCTCCCAGGTGCCACTCAGGCCGCGGCAAACCTTTCCTGCAGCTCAAGTCCCTGAGGCCCTGGCAGTGTCCTTTTAAGGACGTTCAAGGCTGCCGTTTGCCAGCCCGCAAAACTCGCCAAACCCTCCCCTGCAGCTCCCAGGCGCCACTCAGGCCGCGGCAGACCTTTCCTGCAGCTCCAACAAGTCCCTGAGGCCCTGGCAGTGTCCTTTTAAGGACGTTCAAAGCTGCCGTTTGCCAGCCCGCAAAACTCGCCAAACCCTCCCCTGCAGCTCCCAGGCGCCACTCAGCCCGCGGCAGACCTTTCCTGCAGCTCCAACAAGTCCCTGAGGCCCTGGCAGTGTCCTTTTAAGGACGTTCAAGGCTGCCGTTTGCCAGCCCGCAAAACTTGCCAAACCCTCCCCTGCAGCTCCCAGGCGCCACTCAGGCCGCGGCAGACCTTTCCTGCAGCTCCAACAAGTCCCTGAGGCCCTGGCAGTGTCCTTTTAAGGAGGTTCAAGGCTGCCGTTTGCCAGCCCGCAAAACTCCCCAACCCCTCCCCTGCAGCTCCCAGGCGCCACTCAGGCCGCGGCAGACCTTTCCTGCAGCTCTAACAAGTCCCTGAGGCCGTGGCAGCGTCTTTTTATGGACGTTCAAGGCTGCCGTTTGCCAGCCCGCAAAACTTCCAAACCCTCCCCTGCAGCTCCCAGGTGCCACTCAGGCCGCGGCAGACCTTTCCTGCAGCTCCAACAAGTCCCTGACGCCCTGGCAGTGTCCTTTTAAGGACGTTCAAGGCTGCCGTTTGCCAGCCCGCAAAACTCGCCAAACCCTCCCCTGCAGCTCCCAGGCGCCACTCAGGCCGCGGCAGACCTTTCCTGCAGCTCCAACAAGTCCCTGAGGCCCTTACAGTGTCCTTTTAAGGAGGTTCAAGGCTCCCGTTCGCCAGCCTTCAAAACTCGCCAAAACTCCCCAAACCCTCCCCTGCAGCCCCCAGGCGCCACTCAGGCCGCGGCAGACCTTTCCTGCAGCTCCAACAAGTCCCTGAGGCCCTGGCAGTGTCCTTTTAAGGACGTTCAAGGCTGCCTCTTGCCAGCCTTCGAAACTCGCCTAACTCCCCAAACCCTCCCCTGCAGCTCCCAGGCGCCACTCAGGCCGCGGCAGACCTTTCCTGCAGCTCTAACAAGTCCCTGAGGCCGTGGCAGCGTCTTTTTATGGACG